GCGGCAGGTGTGTGCGTGTGTGTGCGTGTGTGTGCACTCTGTGCAAGAAAACGACGACACTACGGTATCGTAAGCCCACACCCAGCATGCTAGCTGTCCTGCCTTGTACGGTATGAGCATAGGTTGGGTTTTTTCCTACTGCACTGTCCTGATTTCCAACTCTAAGGCAATGAGCAAATACTGTTTTTGTAATTTAAAAAAATGAACTTATTTTAAACTTGATGAAATTATAACATTTCCAAACATATGGGATGTGAGTAAATTCTACTTAAACAGGAATTTATACTCTTAAATGCGTCAGGAGAAAGCTATAAACCAATGATGGAAACACCTGAAGAAGCCAGGAAAACAAGAGCAAGTGGAACACAGTCAAAGTAGAAGAAATGCACACAAGGGCAGAAATGACAGGGAAAATGGTGCAGCAGAGACAAGTCAACCCTGAAGACGGAAAACGGATGAACAACTGGCAAGACAGGCCGCGGAGGGGCAGGGGAGGTGCGAGCCACCGGCCAGGTGGTGGAGGCATGTGTACACAGGCTGACGGCCGCTACAGGACACTGTGGACAATTCCACGCAAATAAATGAGTCTGTGTGAGATGGAGGATCCTGAGAAAAACAACTTACCAAAATGGCAAAATGGACGCATGAAGAAATGAAACCGCTTAGTCCCATGTCTCTCCCAGAAATGGAATCTCCAGTTAAAAGAACTTTAGGTCTAGGGCGCCTGCGTGGCTCAGCGGGTTAGGCCTCTGCCTTCGGCTCAGGTCATGACCTCAGGGTCCTGGGATACGGCCCCGCATCAGGCTCCCTGCTTGGTGGGAAGTCTACTTCCCCCTCTCCCTCTGCCTGCTGTTCTGCCTACTTGTGTTCTCTATCAAATAAATGAATAAAATCTTTAAAAAAAAAACAAAACTTAAGGTCTAGGTCAATTCACCTGTGGCTTCTATTAAGCATTTAGGGAAAAGATTAATGCCCAGCTTACACAGGTGTTCCCAGAGAACAGACATAGGGTGCACTGTCCTCTCTCCAGACCCTGGTGGGGACCTTCTGAGATGGGACAGCAGCTGGTGATCCTGCCCATAAATGTCCACAGGTTCCAGGGATACAAAGTAGCTGATTTTAAAACCACACATGATAAAAACTCGTAGCAAAGCAGGAATGGTAGCAGAGAATTCTGACACAGGGCAGCCACAAAAAACCCACAGTGAACACGGCACGCGGGGTGACATCCTGGAAGCCTTTCTGGAGGTTGGGAAAGGCGTGCGGCGCCCACCGGGGGAGATCCTGGCGGGGCGGAAAGGCGAGGAACGGCGCACTGGAGCGGGGAGGGAAGGCAGAGTCAACGGGCAGGCACCACAGCCACTCGTGCAAACACAGGACACCTGCAAGACGGCACGGGATGGCCGTGCCCAGGTGAGCGCACAGCCCTGCAGTGGGAGGGGCCCCACCCCAAGAAGGAAGTGCCCGGCACACGACCACATGGATCGGGGACCACAAGATAATGACAGCGAGTGAGGGACTGCAGACCGCGGTCCCGTGATGCTACAGGGCTGGAGCAGGTCCCCCCACCCCGCACTGTTCCCTGCCTGAGCCACAGCTCCACACCGTGAGCTCCCTGCGTGAAGACCCCGAAACACCCAGACTTGGGGGGGTGCCTGCTGGGGGAGCAGGTGGCCAGGGCCTGGGGGTGCTCCAGACACCCCCCGCCCCTGCCGCAGTGTGTACATGAGGTTCTTCCCACACTCGGGTCCGAACGCCACGGGATGACCGCAGCTCCTGACGCTTCTGGAAGATGAAGTATGGGGCAGAGTATCCTACGTATGAGCTAACACAGAAGAACAGCATAGGTGACCTGCTACGAAGGTGGTGAGAACCCCACGGCCAGGCACACACATCGGACAACCGAGGAGAAAAGGTGCTGGTGAATAATTATCACAAATGAGATGAAGGAAGAAAGTGTCCTGGGGGGTGGGAGTCAAACCCACAAAACCCCACGAGGTCCTGGATGGAAGGCAGGGGTAGCAAGGACGCAGTGGAGGGCAATGCAGCACCACCCCGGGCACGTCTCCAGCGTGACCCACACAGAGGCTTTGTTCCGGAGCCTGCCGGAGCAGAACTGCTCCCGGACACGTCCCCTCCGTCCGGGCGCACACCTCACACAGCCGGTGCTTTCTGCCAAGTGGCACCGGGTGCGTCTGCAGTCGCCGAAGGTCGGTGCACAGTAAGAGCTCCTTGACGAGAGTGCCCTGAAGTCTGGCGGTGCGGCCAGAATCTTACATCAGTCCATGGCAGCGACCTTCTCGCCCAAGCTAGGAGCCTGCGGAAGAAATCAACGTGTAACTCCCGCACAGAATCCCGATGGCATCTGGCTCGGGATTTACATTTTTGATGCAAAGATCTAGGTAGAAAGTATTTCTTTACGGGAAAAGAACTGGTGAAGCACAACAGTAATGCTCTGGTTCTTTCCTCTCATCTCTTAGTCAGAAGAGAAGTAAAATAAATATAAACATATACATTTTAACTCAGAACCTTCAAAAATGTTTTCATAATTTTGTATGTTCTAAATGTTTCATCATAACCTCTGGCTGGGCGACTGCTGTCAGCCCGAGAAGGCTTGCGTGTGGCAAGTGGCGGCCCCCGAGCCCTCATGAAGGAGCAGGGGACGCAGGTGGGACAGGCCATGAGGGGCAGAGCCGAGCCCAGAGATGACAGGCCAGTGCAGTCGACTGCAGGAAGCCCCGTCTGCTCATGGCGACCAATGACATTTCTGTGGTGTGTTAGGGGCATCACACATCCTTGGTCCTGCCACCCCCACCTTGAGCTTGATCCCTTGACCTGCCTTTCGTGCCCTGTCCTCAAACAGTCACAGCTCTGCCTGTAGCCTGGCCTCCCCGGGCCCCACAAGGCCTCGGTGAGTGGGTCTTTCCTCAGGTGGCCCCCTCACCCCTCAGACCAGACCAGGCTCTCATCCATCCTCACTTGATGTCATGGGCTCTGGTCCTGACAACACTGGGCTGAGGGGAATGTCCACGGGGGCCCGGGGCACGGCTGGCATGCCC